TACCCAAGAAGTTCCGCAGCTGTTTGGAGGTGACATGAATTCCAAAAGTCTTTCCTCAGGCTGCGACTGGAGATGACTTCATATTTTGGTGTACATGAAGGTGATGGGCGAGAGCCAGCTCCTGCTTATAGAGGAACATCTTGGGTATCTTCCGCCCTGGTACTCGTATCCACGTCCTCTGTCTGGGCAGCGAAAACTTTGCTGATATGTGACTCGGTCGAAGTGACTTTTTTTGGCCCTCCCTGTATAAGATAAAAATCTTTCGTGTTTATACTCAGCGCGCCACAAGTCGCGTAGCGCAAAAACGTCGCGGTACGCAATGGGTTAATGCCCGAGAATGGGAAAGGAAAGAAAGGGGTGGATGCCGGTGACTAACCTATTATAGAGCCACCAGCAGCAATGATGGCTGATTCTCCACCTGACGAACCACCGGGAGTACGTTCTTTATCCAACGGGTTGCTTGTGGTGCCTGAAAAAGACACATTTCCAACGATCGTTTTGCTAAAAACTGGGCAAGTGACTCATTACGCAACTTATTTAGATTAATGAATTTACCATAAACGGGATTGGAACAACTGTACGACAACAACGATTGAGGAACATTCGTTTGCACAAACGGTATCATCCCTGAAAGTCACTCTTGGAAGATCCGAAGATTTTTAGATAGGAAGAGCGAGATAACCTCACAAAAAATTCAATCACGCTGTTTTTCATTTTTACATGCTAGTTCACTCTAGGTGGCGGATGTACATTGTGGCAAGTGGGACGCTTAGTCGCGCTCCCGCCCATGGCAACGAAGTTTTTAACCTTTCGGGGACGGCGAGTCATACCAGGTTCAATTGCGAGGGTAAGAACACTGACTTTTCCATTGGCTGGACAACACAAGTGATTAAAAAGGGGAAAACGTTTTCAATAAGCCACTACGATTCTGTAGGGAAGTGAAATGCGTGGCGCTCTCTCAAAACGAATTGACCAGCTGCGAAGACTTTATAAATCCATCTTTTAGGTAACTCCAGCTCACATCAAAGCTTTCGAACCTGACGCTGTTCGTCAGTGTGCAAAACTATTGTGCCCTCACCATCATTAGGCCCTTATCTAAGTGTTTCTCTTCTAAGCCAGCAAAGAAAACGTGTGAACTAATGGGACACCGCGACACCCTGTCTCGCCCATACGATGATCATGGATTAGGCATCTGAAGAAATAAATTGCCCATGACTTGCACCTGCCAAAGTTTTTCAAAATGCTTCTCTAGCAAAGCTGTAGTATTGTTGGCTTCGGGTGCTCGAGCGGGTCAGGGAGCCGGGTTTGACGCGGTGCGAATCCGACTTTCTCCCTCCTTCCACCCTTCATCTCAGGACGGTGTTGGGAAAGCGACAACAATTGGTAGAATATATGGCGGTGCCGCGCCAAATCCGGCCCCCTTACGTGCCCTCCTTGGAATTCTGAAAAACAGACCGGAACACCTGAATCTTGAGTGTCTCACCTAATCGTTTGACCTGTTGCACGAGAACCGAGTCAATCTTTGTTGGAGCGTACACATCCTGTACGAATCCACGAGTTTGGTCATAACCTTCAAGCTGAAATGAAGCTTTTGGTTTTTTCCAAGACTGTCAGACCACGAGATCAAATTTCTGCGCTACTGTTTGTCATTGTTGTAAGTTGTTTCCTATCTACTGAAGAACTCAATAAATTGTGCGGTCCGCGGTCAGGTATAGAAGTTGAAAATATGGCGTCGGGAGGGTAGTGTGGCCGCGACGAACAACCTTGTACCGGTTTCGCGGCAAAAAATTGTAAGGGAGGGGCGCTATAACGCAATATAGGTTCAGTGACGCCTCCTTTTTTCCAGTGACTCCGCCTCCAGGCTCCGCCCTCGAAGCCCACCTTTCCAGTGAAAACAAAGCTGCAGGACGAAAAAGCATGAAAATCGTCACTTATACGGTCGTAGAGATCTTATCGGGGAATCAGCTGTGCGGATGAGGGCACAATGCTGAAGATGGAGTCAATTGGGCTAGTACAAAGTGGATTCGGAATGGAATTCTACTTAAAGACACATGGTACGATCACACATAGTTTGGGTGTGCGTGACTAACAGCCCCCCAGCTGTCGAAGCGTAGCGGTTTCCCCGTCCTAACATGCGCAGGAATGGAGATACAGGACCGTGAAACACGCTAATTCCTCCATGCTCCGCCCAATGCCTTTTTGCGGCGCAGACTCCCGTTCATGCTAACAGCCGTCGTGTGCGCGCGTGTCGCGTGCGGCGCTCTTGGCACTTTGCCAAGTCCTGTAATTGCGCTTTGGAATACAAGTAAAACGCAATTTCCTGATGCGGATAACATTTAGGTGCTGCAAAATAAGAACCGAAGATGATGACGAGGGCCAGAACTCAAGAGCAACTGTGCTGCTTCTGCAATATCCCTCGGAGGCCGCGCATTCCCACAAAACAACACTATAAAAAAAAAACAGCTTAAGCGTTGCACGCGTCAGTTTAATACAAGCAAAACACAGATGCGAATAACATTTGAGGTGCTGCTCATGCTTCAAAGTCCGAATAGAAGGTGATGAAGATGACAAAGGCTAGAAATGAAGAACAACGAATGTAGATGTAAATAAAACAAAAATGAAAAAATCAAGGAAACGCAAATTAATTCAAAATCGCGTGTAATTTCTGCGATCCGGCGCGAATCCGGCTCCAAAGCCATAGAAATACTTGAAACTAACAGTGGGACGCTTAGGCCCTTTTTGGTTTCGTGCTTTGTGGGAATGCGCGGCCTTCGAGGTATGATGCAGCACAGTTGCTCTTGAGTTCATGCCCTCGTCATCATCTTCGGTTCTTATCTTGCAGCATCTCAAATGTTATCCGCATCAGGAAATCGCGTTTTACTTGTATTCCAAAGCGTAATTACAGGACTTGGCAAAAAGGCAAGAGCACCGCACGCGACACGCACGCACACGACGGCTGTTAGCATGAACGGGAGTCTGCGCCGCAAGTGAAATTGGAGCATGGAGGAATTAGCGTGTTTCACGGTCCTGTATCTCCATTCCTGCGCATGTTAGGACGGGGAAACCGCTACGCTTCGACAGCTGGGGGGGGGGGCTGATAGTCACGCACACCCAAACTATGTATGTCGTACCATGTGTCTTATCTAACAAGGGAGGTCCTTCAGGGCGTGGTGCGACAAAAAACAAATTTTCAGTCAAAACAATTGTTTTGACCTTCTTGGGTTTGCTTATTGGGTTGTCCGGTGTCCGTAGCGTCAACGATACTTCATCGCTGTTACGAAGATGTGAAACTCCGCTCACACTGCCGACCAAATGGTCGGCCACCTACAACCCGAAAAAGTCAAAAAAAAAATTTTCGCTCAAAACTTGCTCCTAGGGGTAATCGACAGTCCTGATCACGATTCTAGACTTATTTTGTTCCTGTACCATCTGGCTACCGCATAGTGCCCAAAGCTGAGTGCGCATACTACGAATTCGACCAACGAAAAAAGCAGTTTTGTCTCCATAAAATGTAGGATGTTCATGCTTCATCGTGAAATGTTTTATTGGACCAATTATTTAGACAAACATGGATCCAAAAAATGAAAAATTGTAGAAAAGCAAAATTTTGTCCTCGGTGGGATCCGAACCATCGACCTATTTTTTTACGTTTTTTTTATTCGTAGAAGCGCGCAGCGAAAACGAACCTCAGTTTTCTGGTCCTCGTATGTGCCCCTACAATATGCACAAGACCATTTTGAAAAAGCTCACCACGCCCTGAACGACCTCCCTTGTAAGGCAGTTGGCAATGTTTCTTTTTTGCTTTTTCCTTCACTATCGAGTTACACACAACCTTGTCGTCTATATACGAACTCTTAATCCACTATCTGTGGTGGCAAATGATGGCGGTTTTTGCCTTTAAGGGTGATTGCTCTACGTATCACTTCCTAGTGTTGCTAGATCATCATGTATGAAACTTACTGGTACAGCACTCTTGAGACCTGATAGGAATACCGAGCAGAGGTGGCTTGATGAAGCCGTCTTCCCGAGCCTTCTTGTCCCACTCAAGAGCCCATTGTTCCGCTTCCTTGAGTGAATATCACCGTATTAGAACGCTTTGCAGGAAAAAAAAATACATGAAAGAATGAACGAATACATAAAGAAATAATGAAAGAATCAACTGAGAGGATGACTTTGTCAGCAGTCACTTACTTTAACAAACATAACCACGCAGTTTGTTGCTTCGTGGGCTTTTATCGCTTTCCATTGATATGTTCGCAACACGTCGATGCATGATACGGCACCAGACTGAAGATTTGCTGGAAAAATAACAAAAAAAAACTTTCAGGAGGGGATGGAAAGGCGCTGAACAGTGGCCAAGACTATGCTGCACTCTCTTTTTGCTCATCTCACTCACATCACTCTACATCACTCTTTTTTGATCACTGGCAGCGGAAAGTCACTCCATGGAGAGGCCGCAGATGACCACGAAGGCACGTGGTCTAGTTTGGCAGTACTCCTCCTCCGCCCTTTTTCACAGTCTCAATGCCGATGGTTACTTTGTCACAATGAGGATGGTCTTGTTGCCAAACAAAATAGAATTTCAGAAATATTTGGGTGTATGCATGGGTATTTTAAAATGCTCAGAGATACAGAACTACTGGAACCTTAACCTCATATAGTAATTACAATAAACGCCGGAAAATTCGCGGAAACCCCAAAATCACAGTACCTAAAAAAGGAACTTCCGGAACTACTCACTGTTTACTGTCCTAGTTTTCGTAGTTTGGATGCCTTCTTTGATCTGTCCGGATACGTCCACAGAACTGGTACAGAAGTGGTTTACCCTCTTTTACACAAATATTATGGCCATTTAGCACAGAATAGTCTTTCGCTCACGCTACGCAACAGCACTAGAAGACCTGCATTTGATGCTTGTGCCAGGCGGTTTCACACCAGCTGGATGTGATTATCGTTCGGAGGCTCACACAACTCCTGACAGCGAATTTTCAGACAAATTTACCTTCGAAGAAAAATTGCAGTAGAAAACTGGCCTGCTTCCTGAAGAGTAGGGCAGTTAAAAGTAAATAGGGCCGATTTTTGCATGAGATCCTAGCACACAGCCAGCAGATTACCACATGACCAGTAGGGGCTCAGTTGCCTAAAGCGTTGCCAAACAGATCTTCACTGAAAGAATCAGCTCACCTTCGCCTACTGCTAACTTCTGGTCAATCGGCTTTCGTTAAACATGACACCATTCTCACTACGACTCTACCACAAACACCCAAAAGAAGTTTTCTCGAAGCCACTCCCTCCTAAAGGAAGAACCCGCGATTACTCGCCATCTCAGATGGTGGATTAGGGGGTTCCATATAGACGACAAGGGGTTGAGTAACTCGACTGTGAACAAAAAAAAGCACAAAAAACATGCCACCTGCCCTAGATAGAACCCCATTTCGATCCCAGTTTGTACGTGCCCAATCAACTCTATCTCAACTACGCCCTCATATGCACGGCTGATTCACCGATAAGATTTCTACGATCGTACAAGTGGCGATTATCATGCTTTTTCGTCCTGCAATCTCATTTTTCACTGGAAGTCATTAGGGGCGGAGTCTGGAGGCGGAGTCACTGGAAAAAAGGAGGAGCCACTGAACCTATTGCGCTACAGCGCCCCTCCCATAGAATTTTTTGCCGCGAAACCGGTACAAGGTTGTTCGTCGCGGACCACTCTAACCTCCTGACGCCATATTTTCAACTTCGATACCTGATCGCGGACCGTGCCTTTAAGCGACCAAATACGACCCCTTCCTTTCTTGAGAGAACCCCAGCAATGATATGACCACACTGAGTAGTCGATGTATTGTGTAAAGCGACAACTCCCATTCTGCGAAGTAGAAATCTGGGAAGTAGAAAAATCAGTACAAAGATACTGAAACGTAGTGAATAAGTGCACTCAATATCCCTGAGTTGAGTGGCTGCAGACCTCATTTTAACGTGACAACTGGACTCTTTTAGGCCGTTTCGGCAACATAAAGCCTTGTCCAGTGCAAGGCAGGATTACAAGTATCTCCAGGATTACAGAAAAAAACTTCCTGCATATGTCACATGCCAATGAAATAAGCAACCCTGCCTCTCCCTATCTCCAGCGTATGGAGTGTAGTATTGTCTCACTGTCGGAATCGTTCTTTAGCACAAAAACTGACTGTAGAGGTACTCGAACGGCAGTAAAGCCGCGGATGAGAGGAGCTCACCCGAACCAGCCTACCTTCCCCTTACCATTAAAACCGCAAATTGGAGCCAAACACCCGGCCAGCAGCCAACATCTCAGAAGGATTATGGCGGTGGTCTTTTATTCGTTCAGCAACACTAAGCTTGACTAGGTATGTGATTGCTAGAGTTATTTCTGCCAAATGGGTTTGAAAATGAAATCAGAAGACAAAGGATCAAAATGTCAAAAAAGAGTGGCCCAAAAAAGCCAAGGCGTGTACTACAGGGCTTGAAAAAAAATTATGCCTCAGCAAATTTGAAAGGTTTGGAGGTCGCTGACAAGATACTTTGAAATTATGTTGTTAAAGTAGTTGAGTAGTAGGCGACCACT